TGTGTGTGTGCACGGGGATAAAACATAAAAGAGAGGGAACGAAATAATCATGGGGAGTTAAAGGTGTGAGGGGGGATTTGAACCAGCAGGTAGCAAAGGAGTTTGCAAAAATATGGAGGATGGATGATGAAAGAGGGGAGTAAAGGAGAGGAGCGATGGGAGGGGGGGAGGTGGGTTAGCCGACAGGAGGGTGAAAGGAACGTGTAACTGCCTTGTAGTCAGTCAAGTCCTGAACAGCTGTGTGATGGCAGGGAGAAGAAGCCCCATTACCTGGTGGAGGTTGTCGTGCTGCGGTCTGCGTCAGCGCCATCACTCACTGGGAAGAGTCAGACAAGCTGACAAACATAAACAAGGGGGCAGGTGTATAAAGTAATCACTGAACTGCAGAGGCAGACCGGTAATCTGAGTACTGGAGAATCCCAGAACGGCGGTGCAGGGTTAGGGTTGGGCTTAGGGACCTGCAGCAGCGATCAGCCCCCTACCTGCTCAAAGTAGTTGATCTTTGACTCCACATATTTTCACTCCATTACTCCTCAAAGACTAACAAAAGAGGGGCAGTAAACAGAACAGAATAAAGGCGACAGGCGATGTGAACAATACTGTTACCACGTTTAACACGAGAGCAGCACAGTGGTGCCGTGACTTCCACAGAACAGGTGGAACGGGAGCAGCTCTCAGTAGCAGGAACCAGATTTCAGTCATGGCTGCTGCAGAGAGGGACTGGCTGGGCCAGGGCGGGTGCAGATGGAGGAGTCACCTTGAGGCGGAAGAGGCGAAGGAGGAGCACAGGGACTCTGCAGCAATGCCAGTTAGATTTCATTTTCAGACTGTGAGCTTGTACGTATCTGAGGAAGTAACCTAAAGATAATTTCTCATAAGGAAAAAACAGAATCTGTTCTGAAATGTGGTCTGTTGGAACAAAAAAGAACTGAAACAGGAAGAAAAGCAATCACCGCTCTCATTAAACACAAAGAGGAGGTTTAGAGTTCAACTATTCGTTTGAATAAAGGTGTGATGTTCTCCTTCTGTCTGTTTGACTGGTAGCAAGGCTGCTCGGGTCATCATTTCACATGTTTAACCACAGTGACCTCTGTTGGTGAGATTTAGCAGGTGAATGTTGTGTTTCTAAAAGACCAGCCTGCACTGGTTTAACCACTGACTTTACATTAGTGATGGGAATTATGGCTCTTTGTAGAGAGCCGGTTCTTTTGGCTCAGCTCACCAAAAAGAGCCGACTCTTTCGGCTCCCAAGTGGCTCCTCAGATTTTCTGTTGCGTAGAGTACATTTATAACCAAAATAATGCTAAACTATATGTAAAATGATTTACTAATGTAAAAAAAAATGCAATATATTAAATATTTATAATTTCTATGGATTTAATAACTGAACACTTTAAGAAATCTCCACTTTCCAACTGCTGGCGCTCATTTTCTCACCGTCTTCGTCGCACTCTCCTCTCTCTCCCACTCGCCTTTTTCCTCCTCCTCATTCCCTCTCGTCTGCCTCCACCTGCATGTGCTCTGCTGTGTGTCTGAGTCTGATCCTCCCTCTTCCCCGCCCCTACTGCTCTGCGTGTGGACAGTCTGGACATGCAGTTACACATGCTGACCTATCGCCTGTAGCTTTCACCAAAGCAGGAGGGGACGGCTCCCAATGACGAGCCGGCTCCGGTCGTTCACTTCAAAGAGCCGGCTCTTAGAGCCGGTTCGTTCGCGACCGACACATCACTACTTTACATCCCGATAGCATCATTCACTTACTTCTTCTCATGTGAGGGAAAAGGTACAAGCACACGAGTGTTGAACACATCTAGCGACCTCGCGGACGCGTCAAGCATAAACCAACCTTTAGCCTGTTGGCCCCCCCCCCCCCCCGACCCGACTCCGGATAAGCAGAAGAAAATGGATGGATGGATTTTTATTTAACTTTTATTGCTAAACACCTAGCGCTTAGCTGGTGAACCGACAAGCTTGTAGCCTCTGAAAATTCTGAAGAATGACAGTGAATACCAGCGCTGTGAACTCTGAACGTGGAGCCTCCTTGGGCCGGAATAATCTGGTCATCACTAGAGCTGCAGCCTCACCCACTCTGCGGAATGGCCCTAGCAACACGGACATGTTGGGGCTGAAATGTAAATCAAAGTAGCACGTATCGACGAGTAGCACAGACAGTCGGAACACTGGTCTGGCCTGTTGGGACATCTAAAATATTGAGCTGATGTGCCCGGGGCTGCAGTCTGGTTCCAGCACGTTTCCTGTCTGACTATTTGTTTTATTCTAACACTTGTTTTTAGTTGTTAATTTTGTTGTCTTGGCTGTAAAATGACGTGTTGACGCCTTCTTTGCCAGGCCACTCTTGAAAAAGAGGGCTCGTCTTGATCTCAGTGTTGTTTTTATTTAATTAAGTAAAGGTTGAAAAAAAAGGAAAAGTAAATAGCTACATCTGTGTTATTAAAAATCTGGCAGTCAAAAATAAATAAATGAATGAATGAATAAAATCCATGGTGACACCAGGGTTCCACGGTGGTTTGTAGTGTCCAACCTCTCTCAAGGAAACTGGAGCCAGAGCCATTCTTATCTATATTCACAAATTAGGTCAGACAATTAACACTATTAAAAATTCTACTAATATTAACCCTTTAGGCCCTATAGGCTTTTTTTCCTTTGGGCCCTGGCGCCTCCCAGTCGGGGGCCTTTGGAGTTTCATGTCCCAAGTGTCAGTGATTATTTGCGTTCCCCGAGCACGGCTACAGCTACAATCAAACCAGTTTAGATTGTAAACAAAGCTATTTTTGGATTTTGATACAACTAACTACATTTGCAACGTTAACAACAATTATTAAGACGTTTGCTACTAATCAAAATACTTCATGGCTGAATTTCAACTAAATTGATTTATTTACGAGAAAGTCACAGCAAAGAGTTAGGGAGCAATTTGTTAGCCTAGCCTGCCAGACTCGTCCTCTGTTTAGTTCTGCACACTAGTGATGTGTCGGTCGCGAACGAACCGGCTCTAAGAGCCGGCTCTTTGAAGTGAACGACGGGAGCCGGCTCGTCATTGGGAGCCGTCCCCTCCCCTCCCCCCCTCCCCTTTTGCTTTGGTGAAAGCCGCAGGTGATTGGTCAGCATGTGTAACTGCGTGTCCAGACTGTCCACACACAGAGAAGTAGGGGCGGGGAAGAGGGAGGATCAGACTCAGACACACAGCAGAGCACATGTGGGAGGAGGGAGACGAGAGGGAATGAGGAGGAGGAAAAAGGCGAGCGAGAGAGAGGAGAGTGCGACGAAGATGGTGAGAAAATGAGCGCCAGCAGTCGGAAAGTGGAGATTTCTGAAAGCGTTCAGTTATTAAATCCATAGAAAAGATAAATATTTGATATATAGTATTTTTTTTACATTAGTAAATCATTTTACACATAGTTTTGCATTATTTTCGTTTTAAATGTACTTTACGCAACAGAAAATCTGAGGAGCCACTTGGGAGCCGAAAGAGCCGGCTCTTCTTGGTGAGCTGAGCCAAAAGAACCGGCTCTCTAAAAAGAGCCGGAAATCCCATCACTACTGCACAGAGAGAGAGAGAGTCTGGTAACTCACAGGCAGGGAGGCACATGAGGGGCGGGACTAGGCAGCTCAAAAATAACCAATCAGAAAAAAGAAATGCTGAATGTACCGCGCAATGCTGTAGTTTTAGAGCTGTAGTCAAAAATGGCGTCTGGCGACGGCGAAAACATTTTTCTTTAGAATAAAGGCTTTTAGCGCTTCCACTTGTTGTTTTAAAGACGTGTCCAAGTCATTTAGAACAGAGGAAAGAGCCGCAGCAAACTCCGCTTCAGTCGCCATGTTTATGACAAACTCGGCGTTTAGGTGTGTGACGTACGCTGCTCAGAGCTGATTGGCTCGGTTAGAATTCTCAGGGGGCGGGGTTATTTGAATAGGAGAGTTCCCAGAGCCTTTCTCAGTGCAGAATTAAACAGAGGAGGAGTCTGGCAGGCCAGGCTAGCAATTTGTGTCCAGGCATGAAGGACTTTTGAAAATGCAGCCTACAGGAAAAAATAATGTATCGCCACAATCACAGTTTGTTCAATAAACCATTAACTAAAAAAATATCAAATACCAATAAAATGGCATGTCTCTTTTTGTTAGGTTTATGCCACAACGACCTTAACTGAAACATTAAATGGAAACAGATAAACAATGGGAAAAGTTTTGCGTTTTTCCTCTGGTGCTCTCATACATCCAGCAAAAGGTCTCGAATTTTTAAAAACCAATATATATATATATATATATATATATATATATATATATATATATATATATATATAATAAAAAATGGAACAAATAAAACGAAAAATTTCTTTAGAAAAGTTAAGTGAGTTACAGTCGGAGACAGCTGCCAAAGCAACTCTACCAGTCCAGTTCAGCGTCTCCCATATGGATGCTCTCGTCTGCCGCGACTTCCCATTCCCCCTGCCCGTAAGCTTCGTATGCTGCATCCTGGGCCTCGCCGTGTCCGTAATCATAATACTCTGTGTCTGAGAGCAGCCTGTTGACTGTAGTAATTATTATATCCCTCGTAGGAAGGCTCTGCGTAGGTCTCCTCATATGAAGCATATGGAAGCTCCCTATTTTTTATTTTTTTTAACAAACTTTATTTGTTTTTGTCACAAATACATAGTCACACTAACAAACATACATCAAATATACACACGAACAGACACCAGCTCATTAATCGACAAGAGGCACATAACAGATAATACAACCTTCCAAAAGGTACTTTTTTAAATTGTTTTTGTCATACAGGGTCAATCAGAAATAAACGTTGAAGACTCATTAAAGTGAGTTCTGCCTTCTTATTTACAATTAACTTTATGGTGTTAACATATGAATGGAAGTCATTTAAGAAAACGCAAAAGTTAGGGAGAGATTTGGAGCTCCCTATTCATAACGCTACGTCCATGGCAATGACGTCATCCCGCAGGATAAGCGCGCGCTTTCAGGCGACGGAAGTGGCATTTGTTTCTTCCGTTGTTTTCCCCGAAGTGACCCTAATACGGCTACTCGTTATTTTGAGCCGAAATGACGAGTTGCTGCGTGGTTGGCTGTAGAAACCGTTATTCCCCCAGCAGCAGCATTAAATTCTACCGGATCCCGTGTGGAAGCCGGCCTCTCCAAGTCAACCGGAGGCGTTTGTGGATAAAAGCGATCAAGCAGGCGAACGGGAAAGACTACGATTTCTCAGGACATGCTCGGATTTGCGGGGCTCATTTTATCTCCGGTAGCTTTAGTTTTAATCCGTCATTTAATACAGACAGAGAAAAGAAAGTATGAGATGTGTAATGAAGCTCCTCGTTTCTTTATCTACAGGAGAACTTTCCTTGGACAACGAGAGCCCGGATTTTGTGCCCTCCGTGTTTCCAAACAGCATTCAAAGACAGAATCAGTAAGCAGATGATGTGGAGTACAGCTTTTGTTCAACTATCTAGTCTGGTTGGTGGGTTAGAAAACGTTTGGCTAATCTTTTAGGTTCACCAAAACCACCACGACTTCCCCCTAGGGGTTTTTATTCATTACAAACATTCATTTGGGGGATTTCCACAGAACGCACTTGCAAGTGTCTCACCCAAGATCAACACTAGTCGTTATTTTAATCTTGGTATAGAAAACGTGACGTAACATTTATGCATGTTGTGGTTGAAACTGCAGGGGCACTGCTCCTCGCAGCTCGTTTAAGGCGATGTTAGTTTGTTACAGGCCCTTTTAGAGAGGCAGCCTTTCATTTTGTTTGTTTTCAGCAAAATCATCCTGCATGAAACTGTTCTGATGCTTGAACAGTTCAAAGTGCAAGGGTTTGCAAGATTTAAAGGTATTGACCAGACTGCTGAAAATAGTAGAAATTCGGTGGAGCTACTTTACCAGTGGTTTAAGTTATTATTATTATTATTATTATTGTTGAGTAAGTTTGTCAAATCATTATAGAAAATCCAAATTCCCCCCTAATCAGTGAAGAACTGTCTTTTGCAGGCGTCACTCAACAATGTCTTATCCCATCTTCACACTGGAGGCATCAGCGTCGTGGACTGGGAGCAAAACGGTTTACTTGCGAGTTTTGCTGTGTGCCAGTACACACCGGGAGAATCATAATACTTAATACTTATTGAATTATACTGACACAGCCTGATGCAGCTGAGAGCTCGAGATGCTGTGTGAAGCCCAGAACAGCACAGAAATAAAACAAAATACACAATAAAAGTAAATAAACTGACCGACTAACAGAGGTTTCAGAAGCTACATCTGACTGATTTAACATTGTCGTCTGCCAAAATGCTAACAAAAAATAAATACGGAGCTAGCGGCTGTTTACATTAGCTTCCAGAGGGAATACCTGGTATGTCGTAAGCAGCGGGTGAGCGCTCAGACTGGAAATTCTGATATTTTTTCTGCGCTTTTTAAAAACATCCAATTTTCTTAAAGAGCAAGTCACCCTCAAATCAACATTTTTTTCTGATAAACTATATAAATGCGTGTCTAATCGTGCTGCAGACACGTGTAGTCAATAGTTTTGCACTTTAGTGCATTTTAGTTAAAATTGAAATTTTCTGCCTGAAACTGTCAGTGTTGTGCCGTTGTCGGGTAAAAACTCTTCACTGCATTTGAATTTAAATCTGCTACCGCTATTGGCTAAGAGGTATGCTATGATGTAAACTGGAACATTATGATGTCACAATGTCGTGAGTGTGTGTATTTGTTAGTGGCTCCACCCTCTCGGTCTGCTAGGCAACAGCATTTGTCGCATTTTTCAAACATGAAGTGGGAGTGAGGTACGCTTCTTGTAAGGGGTGACTTGCTCTTTAAAATCCAAACTTTTTTTTTTCAGCTGAGATTTTAAAGGCTTTCTTACTCACGTCAGTCAAAGGAAACTTGTCTCTGGCCAGTTACTTTAAGTGTGATGCCCATATTAACCAACAGCGTCATAGGTTTGGTCTATATCTGCTGTAGCCTCACACAGATTTGCTGTAAACACTTTTCTATTTAAGGAGATAATAAGGAATTTTCATCTTTGACACTGAAAGTTTCCAAATAGCAAATTTAGGTGGAACTTGAAAAAAAGCTAACAGAGTTATCTTCTTGTTACCCGTCTTGTTCTTCAGTCGTTATTAACGTTGATGTTGGAAATCAAATAGGGGCGGAGATTTGTCGCTATGTCTTCGATTGTTGCTTTTCATTATCGTCAGACATGGTGTCTCAAGGTAATTAATGGGAATGACATTTAAAGTACTGCAAAATGACAAGTTACAACATTTGTCAGCAATTACATCTTAAAGGTATGATCAATTCTTTGTTCAAACCAATGAATGGATGTTTTTGTTGCTGCATTCTCTCGAGCTGTTAGTGATGACGGTGAATGGGTTGCTATGGAGCTTGAAAAATCAGCTTTAATGTACTCTAGCAGAGACACCTGCAAGTTAAACATACTACAGTATTTTAAAGTAGGGCTGGGCGATATGGCAAAAATAGAATATCACGATTTTTCCAATATTTTATCACGATTTCTATTTTATCACGATTTTTTATCCATGAATAGCATAACTTCAATTGCGTATTAAAGAAGAGAAACATTGAATAAATAAACATTTATTCATATTAGGGATAATCAACACAGTGCTAACACACTTATATTTTAAACTCACACCAGAGATGATAAAAGCCCTGAGAGAAACAATTACAAAAATCAGTTTTTCTCGTTTTTCAAGTAACTTAACATAAATTAAAATCGTAAACATATTTAAAGTGCAAACATGTCAATTGCAAACGTATTGTGCAAACATTAACTTGTTCAAAATACTATGTAGCTCCCAGTTGCTCATGTAGTGGATAGTTAAGCTCAAATACGGCTCTGATGTGCGGCTGGACCAGAGATCGCTTGTGGTAGCAAAAAACTGCGCATTCTGAATATTTTCTGCAACAAGTCTCTAAATAAAGTAACATTTTCCAGTGCAGATTGGAGACAACCCATAGAAGCACTGATCTGATCTCACTTCAGAGAAAAATAGAACAGGTCAGATGCACCTAATAAATAAAATTACAAACAAACTCAGGAATCTTTCTTTGCTTCCCTGTTCTGGTGCTGAGAATATCACTAATGCGGATCAAAGGAGATACACAGATGAATGCACCTCTTATTATTTATAAACTACATTTACTGCAGCTGGCAGAGGCAGAGATTGTTTCTATTGATACACGGATTTACAGAATCATTTTAAATGTTAATAGGGGAAGACTGCAGGAGGGAGCGGTAAAATACAGGGGGTCCCCAGCAAAAACAAGAAACTACGAGTCTGATGAAACCCGCTGGTTTTCCATCAGGCAGTCACGGGGCAGCTCCAGCGACCCAGTGACCGAGCTCAGTCCGGTACCGACACCGGCTCGGCAGAGGGTGGACGAGCCGAGGCGACGTCGTGCTCTGCTTAAGAAGCGGTGTTATTTTCCTGCTTCAGAAGAAGCGTCCAACGTGTTTTTACGCTTTCTCCGAGACATGTCACGTCGCTAAGTTGTTAGCGCCGCGCGCTAAGGAAACCCTGCGTTCCTCTTCGGAACGAAAACCTCGTTGTCGCTCTCAGCCGCGGCCGAAGCCATGTTTGTTCACACACAGGCGAAAACAAGCGGGGCACTAATATATTACTATGACTCACTCTGATTGGTTAAGGGTCAAACAAAGGCGTGTCATTCGCCTGGGGTAAGTTCCCTTTTCATTCAGAGGCAGAAATTCAACAGCAGAGCTGTGAATCGTGATAAAAAGGTCTCTCAACAATGACAGACCGTCAGATGTGTAGATCGTAAAACGGTCTAAAATCGTCGTATCGCCCAGCCCTATTTTAAAGAGGTCCTTCACTGAAAAACCATTTTTTAATGATCATTTCTGATTATAATCATGCAGGCGGAACATGAAAATAGTCTCTTACATCTATCTCCCGCACGATCTTCTGATAGAGAATAGACGGTGAAACTTCAGGATTAGAGAACCCTGACAGATCTACGTCACCCTGTCGCTTAACTTTAATGGACTCGCCCACCTGCAGCATGTCGTACGCTCTGCTGAGAAGGTCATTGGCTGCATACCCCCCTCCACACAGGACCTGTACACCTCCAGGACATTGAGTCGTGCAGGTCGGATCACAGCTGACCCGTGTCACCCTGGACAGTCTCTACGACTCGCTCCCATCTGGCAGGAGGCTCCGATCCATTCGGACCAGAACTTCTTTCCACAAAAACAGTTTCTATCCTCTGCGGTCAGACTCATGAATGACAAACGTAGACCAGCCCGCTCCAGCTGCTTTGTTTCAGTCACATAAAGTAGCTGCTTCTCTAATTACTGTCTCCCTATATTATTATTATTTCATTGTGTTTATTTCCTAATTCTCATTTTGCTTCTCATTTATTTTTGTTGCACCAAGTACCGCAGCAGTTTCCTACTGTTGTGATTCTGGCACATATGGCAATAAAACCTTCTGATTCATCTTGACTCACGACGGGGAAAACTTGGCTGTCCACACTCCACAACATGCCCTATAGGTTAAAAAATTGTAAGTCGCTTTGGGTAAAAGCGTCTGCTAAGCACATAAACATAAACACTCCACCACACAGCAGAACTCCTTCAGATTTGTGTTATTTGTGGAGATAAAACATCCTCATTCTCCTCCACCTGAATTCTCATTTCCCCAGAGTACAACTTACAAGGCATTCATTCCTACTATGGACCACTGTTCATGCACTAAAAAAACAAGTAAAGGACCTCTTTAAGTCAGCGGTTTATTACCTTTTTACTTTGAGGTCTCCCAACCCCACCTTCTAACGCCAAACACACATTAAAAGTGAAACAAACTTTATACAGTTATAACTCTCATACACTGTTGTGATTATACTATTGAGTGTGTTATTTGGGTTTTAAAAATATATTTTTCTTTACAAATATAATCTTTTTCGTCAGTTTATTTATTTATTTATTATTTTTTACCTTTGGTCCTCCCAGAACCAGCAGCTCCTTTTGTGCTTCCATTGCCTGATTTAACTTCAAGTCGTTAGATCTGCCTAAATCTTACAGAGCAACAGGGGTGGAAATAAAAATTTTTCTCCCAGCCACAGTGTCTGTTAGAGAAAAGTTTGTACCAGCCATTCAAACGTTTTACCAGCCGCTAGGGCTGCACGATATTAGGAAAACCTGCAATATTCGATGACAATGATTAATATTGCGATGACGATATTAGTTGCGATAAATAAAAACTTAACCTAGGAACAAAAATAATCAAAAACAAAGAAATAAAAAAAACATAAAAATGAGAAAAGCAAAATATGTGAGGAAAGGGAAAAGAAAATGAACAAGAAAAGGCGATCGGTGGATCCCGGGAAAAGCAGAATCAGCAGAAAGAGCAGAACAAAGCTAACTCAGGTGTTTGCTAACCATCAAAATTAGGTGCCGTCCGCCCCGTGGGCGGTACTCTGGCCTATGAGAACCCACCCAATTGGCCAAATGGGTGAAAAGCTCTATTTGATGTGTTTAAAAAAAAACATCACGCTTCTGTTTGACTGACAGCATGCGTCATGTAGGGCTGCAACTAACGATTATTTTCATAATCGATTAATCTGTCGATTATTTTTTCGATTAATCGGTTTGTTATTGTTTAGCTATTTAACCTATACAAGTGATGAATACATTTCAGTTAAGAAAAAGAAAAACATAAGAGAATTGTGCAGTTGACTGCAATCTATTTTATTGCACATGACCACAGTCAGCAGTGTAAAATGAGCTAAACAGTGCAAAATATCAGTCCAGAATAATTTTTTGGCATCAAAATATAAGAGGTAAATTCCATAAAAAATAATGTAGAATCTAGAATAGAGTTTGTAAGTGGTATGCATTGCTGGGGGTGAGTGTCTTGTTCCCCATGTAGTTGTCCATCGTTGCTTGTTTTTTTCTGCATAAGAAACACAAATAAACTGAATTAAGTACACATATAAAATAAAGCAGCACACACACTACAACACTAAATCAATATTACATTATTTGAATTAATTAACAATATACAGTGATCATTTATTTTGACAAAAATGTGTTGTGAGGCGTTTTACAGCGTTAGATAGTAAAACAGCCTTTTAATAGTTAAAAAAAGGACTTTCTGAATTTCTCCTGTATTTAAAAATTGAAAGCGTACAACTATGCCGCGTTATATTCACCTGGACACAGCTCGTCTGTATATTTTTCTCCGCGGAGTTGTCCTTTTTTGAATGAGGAACACAGTTATGGGTTTGTGCCGTTTTTCTCTTAACGAGAACATTCTTATAAACAGACGTGCTAAATTTGGCAAGTGCATGATTCACAACACGGAGGAGATTCACGATTGCATCTAGTCAATCAGAAGTAGAACACCGTAAACTGACGCGGCAAAAAAAAAAACATGTTTAACATCCACTATAACGAACTCAGCTAACACTAAGTCCCAAATGTGATCTGCGTTAGCTTGTTTATTTTCTGTTACTTACCGGACTTTCCTCTGCTGCATCAGCCCCCATGTTTTCATCTCAAATGTTCACTTAGGGACGTCGTGCTTCCGTCGTGCCATGCTAGATGGTTTTTGCATATTTTGCAGGTCACCCGTCTTTTCAAGGCATCTAGAGTGAAGTGCTCCCATACTCGTGAGGTTTTTGTCCGGGGTTTCTCTTGTTTTGTCGCTTCTATTTTTCTTCCGTATTTGTTGTTGATCCGCCATCTCTCACAGCAAGATGCGCGTCAGTAACGTGATACGTCATGAAAACCGAGGGCACTTATTGGCTAATTTCTTCTTCTACGGCCCCACTGGTAGATCAGTGGCTCATTACTGCCACACACTGGTGGCAAATTTAACAGATTGTAACCGATGTCAGATTGTGGTAAAAAATAGACTTTATGCGGTAAAATATGATTATTAAACAACTAATCGATGACTAAAAAAGTTGTTAACTATTTTAATAATCGATTATAATCGATTAAATCGATTAGTTGTTTCAGCTCTAGCGTCATGTGTGGCAAACATTTGAGCTGACCATTCATTACAATATTTATCTGATCTTTGCGATATGCATATTGTGCATGCTGATATCGCGATAACGATATATTTACGATATATTGTGCAGCCCTACCAGCCACACTTTTTATGTGAAACATTTGCCTCCGTTACCCCCGCAGCGCTATTTGTTGATAATCTGGACTGTTGGAGACAAGCCACTTGTTGAAGCAGCTTTTGTTTGTTTTCTTGTTTTCCGCGATGGTTATCAGGTTGTTTTCTCCCTCAAGGCATGTTTGAGGCTCATCTCATTATTTTCATGCTAGGAAATTTAAATGTGGGACGTTTTATCATTTACAAGCTAAGATGTTTTCTGTATGGTGCTAAATGTTATACCACTTAAGGGAGAGGCAGTTTAACTTACGTTCTCCCTTTGTTATTGTAGCACGATGGATGTAGCTACACTCATTAAAGGATCAATAAGATGTGAAATTCCATATAAATATGAATTATCAGTCTGATTGGTCTTTGAATATTTGATTTAATATTGCCTTTGGGTCTTTGGACTTTTTAGGGAACACATACTTCATATTAATTCAAACAGAGTCAATTATATAGTTTATAAACATGAATTTATTTATTTATTTAGTTTATTTCAAACAAAGGAAACGTACATAATTAAAAAAAAAATAACACAAACAGGAAAAATACATATCATCATCCCTTTTTTCTTTTCTCTCTCTAATAGGGTTGTCACGGTATGAAAATTTAACCTCACGGTTATTGTGACCAAAATTATCACGGTTTTCGGTATTATCGCGGTATTTTTTAAACGGTGTTGCATATGTTCAGAAAGCATTGATAGTCCTGTTCTACACAAACCGAAATAGTTTTGAAAAGGTTTAACAGTGTTTATTAAACCTAAAATAACACAAAGCCTTAGCAAAAGTGCAACTTTTCACAAGTAAAGGAACAAATAGCTTCTTTTTCTGGAACATGTTACAGTAGTCAGTGCAGGTTTAAATGATACAAATCCAAACATTCAAAACATAAACAATATGTAAACAAATCAAAGAAACACCACTTGTTTTCTTCATTATCAAAATGAAAATCTAAAACTCCAGTCCACACTTGACTTGAGCGCTGTACAAGTCAACCTTAAAAAAGATGTATTTAAAATAAATATCCACTTTAAACAAATTACTAAAATAACTACTACACTATGTAATCATATCCAAATGTTCAAGTATAAATGGCATTGAATAAGTAAACAAATCAATGACAAGGAACTAATTGCATATTTCTCTTCATTATCAACAAATAAGATGCTTCATGCAGCAACAGGGTGTCCGTGACATGGTTTAAATGCTGGCAGAGGGCGCTGCGGCTGCAGTATGTAGTGACTCGTTGCATTCTCCCTCAACCAGAAGTCCTCACGTCATGCATTTAAGCTAAAATGCTAATGTTAACTTACCTTGCACTGGCTGTAGAGCCGTGGGTGATGGTCACACAGATGTGCCTTTAGATTCGAAGTGATGCTGCCTTTTGCAGACACTGTTTCCTGCACGTTCTGCAAACGGGATAGCAGTCTTCTATTAACTGTCCCTCAGCACTTTTCAGAAATCCAAAATATGCCCATACTTCCGATTTAGTCTTCTTTGAGGGCTGATGGATGTCCTGGGCGCTGCCGTCTCTTCCTTCGGCCATTATTTCAGCTTCAAAGTTTTGGTTGCAAACTAAAAAGTGCGTGTGCGCGGGAACTTCAGCTGAAGCGACGGTGGCTGGTAAGGGTCACCGCGCCTAAACCGCCGCCACGGTAAACCCACCGAGATAATTTAGTTTTTAAAAAACTGGACAGTTATTTTTATTGTCAACTTTTTTACCGGGGTTTACCGCTATACCGGTTACCGTGACAACCCTACTCTCTAATTCTATATTTCTAAACTAATGATTATACAAGACAAATTATGATGAATGGTGTTAGACAAGATAACAGACAATGAATGAAATGATAGAAAAGCTAAGATGTTTTGTAGCAAAACCTTATTAAGTATCTGAGACTTCAGTTTGACTGTATGGTTTAACAAGCTGTAGATTATTCATAAACCCATCCGATGCCAGTGTGCAGCTCTACGATACCCTTGTGTTGGACGGTAGCTCTTGGCGGTCCAGAGGAGAGGCAGCCAGGGCGGTGAGGTCTCCGAACGCAGTGGCTCCTGGAATCTCAGTCGCAGCTCCATTTGGATTCACTTGTCACCGGCCATAAGATGATACCAGGGCCTGCTAGTTAGATGTTCCACGTCTGGGGTGTTGTAGCGTCTGATACCACTCGCAAGCGTTGCAGAGAGGCTTTGACCTTGAGGTCAAAAGAGAGGATGGTCCCAAGTGCCTGCTCACCCGGTCAGCCTACCAAGTAAGCTGGCTAAGAACTGACTAGCCTAGTGAGCTAGCCTATATTAACTACTGTTTACAGATTTAGACAAATCAGAATTTGCCAAGTTTAAAGGTGTTGCCAAACTACCTCAGACAATCACTCCTTCTCCCAGATACTTAGAGAGGTTATTCTTAGTGTGAAGTAAAAAGGTTTTAACCATTCATGATAATAAGGGGATATTATTGTGTTCATACTAAAAGATTAAAATCAACAAAGGCTTATCTGGTGTAATTTAAGATCTGAAATAAATGGTTACAGGAATAACTTGCTTACCTATCATTCATTAATGTAAGGGATAGGACACATTATTGAACACTTTGGATTTAAACATAATGTTCATTCAACAAAATATGATTATATAACACATATGAAATTATAGTCATTTATGAGCCAGGGAAGACGAGCTTTATTCAAAGAGGAAAGATAAGAGGTCCTGCGTCTCTTGCAGCCTCGAGGACTCATGACTTACTAGAGGATAAGTTAAGAACATTGGCTCAAGTTCATAGACATCATATTGACACCGCAGTGTCAGATTGACCTGTATGAAGAAGTTTGGCCCATAAGTTAACTTCTGGCCATTTGGTATGCTACATTATTGATAGAGGTTTGTTATGTTGGGTTGAAAGACTAATTATTCATCTAGTTACCAGATAAATGGGCTGACCTTTTTTCTCCCAAAGGAATGGTCTTAGAAGGGGTCGCTCAAGAGGTCTAAGAGAAAAGGACGAACTGGAGGAGAAACCATTTTCTCCTGAAGCACCTGAAGCTAAGCCTCCTGTTGACCCCAACCCCCCTGTTTTGATGGAGATTGAGATTTCAGGAGAAACACCATGCCTGTCACCGTCAAAGCCAAAGGTAGCAGCTCCTATTTGTTAACAGTTCAGATAACATGTAATCCCTGGTCTTACTTACATGTTCTGTTCCTGTCATTTAGGAAGAAGCATTGACCAAAGAAGTTGTGCCAGAAATCGAAAACATGGAAATGCAGGAAACATCCATTATAAATAAAACATTACCAGAACAACCAAAAGGCATTTTACCAGTAATTGAAATGTATCCTGTTGTGACCCTAAAGCCTCTCATTATGCAAAATGGTGCTTTTCGTTGTGACCTGTGTAATGAAACCTTCGCCAGTGCGTCACAGCTTGTGAAACACAGACGGCAGCATGAAGAACCTAAGTCCTCTGATTCCAGTGAAGCAGGTTTGACTGAGCCCCATCCCGTCCCTAACCAGGAGCCATCTTTTCCCTGTAACATGTGCGATCAATTTTTTACGACAAGTCGCAACCTCAAGCGTCACAAACTGCTTCATGTTAAAGACTGCAGGAAGTGCCTCCGGTGTGGTACTATGTTCTGTCGACGCCACAACCATTTTTTGTTTTGGCCACGATCCGAGCTGAAAACCTTGGTTCAAAAAGACTCTTTGAGTGCTGAGGCGGACAGTTTAGACCACAGTCCTAAAAAGATGGAGCCTGATCAGTCGTCAGAAATGGCTGAAACAGTTTCTTTCACTGATAAACATGCTGTTGTAGTCTCTGAACTCACACCAAAGATGTCCAAAACTGCTGAGACACAACCACCAACTTCTCTTTCTAATGAGCCTTCAGTCTTAGCCTCTGAACAAGTCTTAAAGATGTCAGAAACAGCCGAAACTCAACCACCAGTTCCGTCCACTGATGAGCCTTCAGTCTTAGTCCCTGAACAAGTCCCAAAGATGTCAGAAACAGCCGAAACTCAACCACCAGTTCCGTCCACTGATGAGCCTTCAGTGATTGTCCCTGAACAAGTCCCAAAGGTATCAGAAACAGCTGAAACTCAACCACCAGTTCCGTCCACTGATGAGCCTTCAGTCTTAGTCCCTGAACAAGTCTTAAAGATGTCGGAAACAGCTGAAACTCAACCACCAGTTCCGTCCACTGATGAGCCTTCAGTCTTAGTCCCTGAACAAGTCTTAAAGATGTCAGAAACAGCCGAAACTCAACCACCAGTTCCGTCCACTGATAAGTCTTTGGTCTCAGACCCTGAACTTGTACTGACTACCTCCTGTAAGTTACCAGAAATCATAAAGCCTTCCCTGGTGTCAGTGCAACCCCCTCCTGCACCCTGCCCACCACCTCTAGTCTCCACATTCCAGACAAACAGAGACAGCTCAACTGAATGTACGTCGATGCCCAACGACACACCTGATTTAGGACTATACGGTCTACCTCATCATCAAGAACTCCCATCTGCGCTGAAAGTCTTTTCACCTCAGTACCTCACCTCAGCGCTGCTTGATGTCGAGAGAAATTATGAATATATTTTAAACAGGGCAAAGACTGTTCAGGTTGAGAACGTTGTCGAGGAGGAACCAGAGGACCCGGATGAACCAGTGTTCATTTGTCCAGTTGTGACACCGGTGAAGCCGGCTAAAGGGGAAAAAATTGCTTATGACCTGGAGATAATCTTGTGATGCAAACCATGATCTAAGTGTTGCTGATAAAACTGCTGCAGTTTCACTCCACTCACCGAGTCACTGATGTACATTTTTTGAAATACTTCATCGTAGGACAGGTGCTTATTATGCAAAAGCAGACAAGAAATCACTGTCTCTTGGTTACATTTTGATAGTACTGGAATACCAAGATGAGCCTTTGAATGAAGTCTTGATCCATCTCATTGTAGGGTGTGTGTGTGTGTGTGCGTGCGCGTGTGCGCGCGCGCTGCAGGTGTTTGGAACTTTTAGTGATAAGATTTAGCTCAAACTCACTGGTATTCTCTGCTTTAGTTGGATTTTACTTCTCTCTTCACCTGTGATGGGTGACTCATATCTTAGTTAGCTTAGAACTTTTCGTCCCCACCGTTTGGCTAATTGGTAGCATGTGAAATACATCTCAACAACCCCTCCACCACTGTTGCATTTCGAGGGAAAAATCTTTAGAGGACACCTAACGATGACTTCATTTATCATACAAGTTACCTTTGATTGGAGTTTTTCTACCTCAGCTAATAGGAATCATTTGCTTGTTTACACAGGTTTGCTACATTTGGACTTGATCTATGCATATTGTGCACTAACTTGCTACTTCTTTTGTATTTAGTACAAACATTGTAGATTTATTTTTGTTGTGTTGCGGTGCAAAAGACAGCAATGGCATTGGAAGGAGAGACTGTCATTCAGACATGTGTAGCTTGTATTGTGACTGCTGTTGACCCACCGACTTCCTTGACTGTTCTGTCTTCTACCGTTGTTAACTGAACTTTTTTATTCTGACAGTAGCTTGGTCACCATTTTATTTTGGATGTGTTTGTTGCTGCTAGTTATTTTGTTTTTATAAATCTTGTATCTTGACCGTCACCTTTATTCTTGTACAGGATACAGCTACCAGAGCTATTATCTTAAATATCTTGTTTTTGTGTCTCATTAGCTGCCTACATCCTAAAAAATAAGCCTGCTAGAGTACAAATAAGCTAACCCTACTTTCTACAACTTCACTGACTTTCGAAAGGCCATTGGAACATGAAATAAATGAGTTGTGCATTGTGTTATAGTTTATATTCCTAACAAATCTACACTGAAATAAAAACTATATTTGCAAGATGCATCTTGGCTTGTGTAGTTCTTGTCTGCTTTTCCTAAACTGTGTTCTGAACTGAAGAAAGGCTTATGTCAAGTTGCTGTCCATCAGTCTGGGAAGGATTTATGGTCGTATCCGAACAATTTATGGAGTCCACGACTCAAAAGAGAGATTATTAAAAAGAAGACAGTTTTTGTAGGCGTGGATGTGTCAACAAACTCAATCCAAGGTCACATGCATTACTTGGAGAAACTGTCGAAACGCCTAAAGTCCTCAAACTCTACAGGCCTCGGTTAGCAGGTAAAGGTTCATGACAGGACAATTAGAACCAGCCTAATCAAGTCAGGATTGTTTGGAAGGATTTCAGGAGAAAGCTCTGCCTCTCTGAGGAGGACAAGCCAACACAACTTAGGTATGCAAAGCTGGATCTAAATTAATCAGAAGAAAGTTGGAGCAAAAGTCATTGGGTAGATGAGGCTTAAGTTGAGATGATTACCCATAATGCGCATAACTTACTGTGGAGGAAACCAAATCTATATCTGCACAAACACCTGACGTATGCCAGCTAGTGAGTGGGAGGCTGATGGTCTGAACTTGTTCTGCAGGCACAGAGCCTGAGCACCTTGCAATCATCGAGTGGACGATGACTTATGGTCCACTCCTTTGGTATCCAGAGGAGGTCATGATCATGACCTCTGGATACCAAAGTACTGTAGAGTGACACAGCAGAACTTTGGACCAAATTGGGTCTTAAAGCAGAACAATGAACCTAAACATAATTGGTCTTCTACAACAGAACTAGTGCAAAAGAAATCAAGGTCATGGTCCAGTCAAAGCCCCGACCACAGCTGCACCATCTTTTTACATTGCTGCGACGCTGGCACAGGAGTTAAGTGCTCTCCCTGTAATCGAAAGGTTGCTGGTCAGTGGCTGCCGTTGTGTCCATGGGCAAGACACTTAACCCACCTTGCCTGCTGGTGGTGTTCGAAGCGCCCATGTACAGCGGACTCGCCTCTGTCAGTGCACCCTAAGGCAGCTGTGGCCACACTGTAGCACATCACCACCAGGGTGTGAATGGGTTAATGACTGATTGTGTTGTAAAGCGCCTTGGGGGATTCCAGTACTTTAGAAGGCGCCATGGACGTAAATGTTTTGCCCCCCCCCCCCCCCCCCCCTTTCCAAATTCAAGTTTTGACCCCTGCACTTTTTACCATCCAAAAACAATCTTCGTCGTCTTCGTCTTCCTCCGCTTATCCGGGTCCGGGTCGCGGGGGCAGCATCCCAATTAGGGAGCTCCAGGCCGTCCTCTCCCCGGCCTTGTCCACCAGCTCCTCCGGCAGGACCCCAAGGCGTTCCCGGACCAGATTGGAGATGTAACCTCTCCAACGTGTCCTGGGTCAACCCGGGGGCCTTCTGCCGGCAGGACATGCCCGAAACACCTCCCCGGGGAGGCGTCCAGGAGGCATCCTGACCAGATGCCCAAACCACCTCAACTGGCTCCTTTCGATCCGGAGGAGCAGCGGTTCTACTCCGAGTCCCTCCCGAATGTCCGAGCTCCTCACCCTATCTCTAAGGCTGAGCCCGGCCACCCTACGGAGGAAACTCATTTCGGCCGCTTGTATCCGCGATCTCGTTCTTTCGGTCATTACCCAAAGCTCATGACCATAGGTGAGGATTGGGACGTAGATGGACCGGTAAATCGAGAGCCTGGCTTTCTGGCTCAGCTCCCTCTTCCCCACGACAGATCGGCTCAGCGTCCGCATCACTGCAGATGCCGAACCAATCCGCCTGTATGGTCATGGTCCAGTCAAAGCCCCGACCACAGCTGCACCATCTATATTAAATTGACACTGGTTGAGCTCTAGGACCAAGCGGAAAACAACCGTTTGTGTTGAGGCTTGTTTCCCATTACTGTAAAGATACCCCCCTCGTGTCCCCCCCACTTCTAAAGTGAAAATTACGTCCATGGAAGGCGCTATATCACATACAGTACCATTTACTTTTAAACACTGGATAATGTGGTGAAAGTAGAACAATGAGCTTTAACTCCTGACATGGTTTAAATACGTTCTTTCAGTGGCATGTTATCATTACAAAGATCGTAGTTATTACTGATGCCTGGAGAGGGCATTCCTCCTCAGCAGCAGCATCTGAACGCTGTACACGTCCCATTGGTCCAGTTACGCCGGTAGATGTGGGCGGCGCTTCTGATTGGACGCTCTAGCGGTCACTCTAAAGCGTTCAACCCTGTGATTGGCTGACTTCTCTGGAGCGTTGCTTCAGGTTAGCTGACATATCCTCGATTCCTCGCGTTCCTTCATAGCCGATAAGCTAGTGGTGCTGATGCTGTGACAATGGAAATCTTCCAAGAGGGCGTCGTCTAACCTGAGTGTGACAGAAGGGACGTAGAGGCAGCCGGACAAAGACACGAGGAGGAACCCTCCGCTGCGTGGCCAGAGTAAGTCTGACCCCGGAAACACCGACAGGCCCGGCGAGTGCGGGGTTGGTGGGTGGGGGGTGACAAGGCTGTTGTGAAAGCAGGTAGTACCCCTCAGTTAATGAAGACGTATGCTTCCTTTCTGACCTGTCGTCACATTAAACATTGAAGTGCGCCGGAAGTGCAGCTGCCTGCTAATCGTGCTCGTGGTGGGCCGACTGCGTTGCGGACAGAGCTGGTCTAAGGATTTTATCTAGAGGTGATTTTGTCACGTTGAGCTGTCGCCTTCTCACGTTTATACCCATAACTCAAATGTTCTGTCAGCTGTTTTTAAATCAAAACAATAATTATCTTTTGTTTACCAAACGTGTATTCGAGAGATATGCCTGTCAGACACATTGCATGCTGGGACTTGACGTTTGAATACTACAGCGTGGAGATATTGCATGTTGTGATTGGTGCTCATTCATCTGCATGTGTCAGATAACCGTGGTAACCATGGTAATGCAGGAGTTGCCTTCTCCTCCCAGTGATGGGGGCTTTCAGCCGACAGAGGTTTTTCCAGGAGCTCCCTCACGGCTGCCTGCTGCCTACAGCCCAGCAGGGCCTGGAGCAGGTGTGGCAGCTGCTGGTGATCTGCCTGCTGTGTCGACTACTTTGGATGTTGGGTAGGAGCTCCGTTATGTTGGGGTTACCTTGCCTGTCTTGTTGTCCAGCCTAAACAAACTGCAAGGTGTTTTTTTCTGATCTTGCCTCATCAGGTCTCCCTTCATTTGTGAAACACTTGAGCACAGTGGCTGGAGGCTTCTACACCCTCTACCTATTCTTTGAGCTCCATATGATCTGGGTGGTCCTTCTCAGCCTTCTCTGCTACCTCTTCCTCTTCCTGTGCCGCCATTCCACCATCCGAGGCACCTTCCTCTCCATTACTGTGCTCATCTATTTGCTTCTGGGGTAAGAGAGAGAAATCACACCACTGAAGTCTTCACAGTCTGCTTGGTGGCTATTAAAACTCTACATGAAGATGTAAATGTTCCTGTCTGTTTTGATCAGAGAGCTTCATATGATGGATACCACCAACTGGCACAAGATGAGAGGTGGGTCCTAACTCCACCTCTCATGCAGCTGCTCTGGTCTGATATTTCTAGTCCTAATGTGGATTCTCCATCATCCAGGCTCACAGATGGTGGTCGCCATGAAAGCCATCTCTTTAGCCTTCGATTTGGACAGGGGAGTTGTGGCCAGCGTTCCCTCGCCCATTGAGTTCATGGGCTATATTTACTTTGTGGGCACTGTGATCTTCGGACCTTGGATCAGCTTCAACAGCTACAAAGAAGCTCTGGAGGGACGTAAGCTGGTAGGTGTGATGTAGTCACATAGGGGTGACTTCCTGACGCTGAGTTTGTCCTGAGACAGACCTGTTCAAGTTTTTTTCCCGAGTCCCTCACGACTGACCAGGAATGAGGGGATATGGAAAAAGAACGAGCAGATCCCGAGACAAGCTTTTAACGCCGCATTTGTCTTTCTCTCTGTCAGAGCTTAGCGTGGCTTTGGAAAGTGTCTGTGAGCTGGGTGAAGAGCCAGGTCTGCCTTGTCATTTCCAACTGTGTGGCTCCTTACCTCTTCCCTTACTTCATACCCGTCTATGGAGACAAGCTGCTACGAAGGTGAATGGAGTTCAGAGAGAGCACCAAACTAACCCCTGTTTGAGGCTTGGGAGGTAACACCTCACGTCTGTTTTATTCGCAGCAGAAAACGGCGGAAAATCAAGTGAGTAACGATCTGAAACGACCCTGAACGTATCCATGTCCGTAAACATTGATCCTCACCCCTCTGCTGCAGCATGCTTGTTTCCTGTGTGTGTGTGTGTGTGTGTGTGTGTGTGTGTGTGTGTGTGTGTGTGTGTGTGTGTGTGTGTGTGTGTGTGTGTGTGTGTGTGTGTGCATATGCATCCTTCCCCTCCCTTTCTGTGCAGCGGGACACATTTCTCACCCTCACATTCACCATTTCATCACACCGAACATCCGGGTGAGACGTTCATCTGCAGTAGTGAGTAAAACGTGTGGAAGTGTAACGTATGTTTTCTTTATCTCGTTGCTTCTCAGAGGAATGCTGTCAAAGTAGGTATTTTAGCTGGAATACACTCAGGTCTAGTCCACACGTAGCTGGTTTTTTTTTAAAACAAATATCCGCCCCTCCAAAAACTTGCATCCACACCACCTCGTTTTAAAACAAAACTCTGTCCACACGTACCCGGATAAATACGTTGTTAAGGACATGCCAGACCTGTAGGCGGCAGTACTTCCCCCGTTCTTAACCTCGTCCTTCGTCTGTGGTCTTCCGCAAGGAGCAGTAATTCCGCTTGCAAAAACAAACAAGCAAAAAGCGCTTGGACGATTGATAAAGCGAGCGCAGCTCTGAGGGCGTCCATGATGTCAGCTAGTGTAAACACAGGTCGCACACGTGATGTCAGCATTTTTTTGTCGCGGAAAGTGACGTTGCGGACCTTAAAACTCCGGTTTTGTCCGTCCACACGCAGACACCCATAACGGAGAAAACGCAGATCTTCACTTTGGCCGGAGTTTTTAAAAAGATCCGTTTTCGTGTGAAAAAACTCCGTTTTCGTGTGGATGACAGGCCAAAACGTAGAAAAATATCCCCGGCTACGTGTGGACAGGGCCTTAGACTAGAGCTGCACCGCACTGAGACTTCCTGTTGTGCTGTCCCTGCTTCAGGTGGCTGCTGGCGTACGAGAACACCATGTCTTTCCACTTCAGCAACTACTTTGTTGGCTACTTGAGCGAGACTACAGCTACGCTTGCTGGAGCAGGCTTCACAGAGGAGAAAGAAAACCTGAAATGGTCAGCGTGACGCATGCATCTTTAACATCATCCTCTTGTTTTCCACATTTCTAACCGGCCTGTTGACCTTTTCTCTTCTCAGGGATATGAGCGTAACGAAGCCTCTCTGTGTGGAGTTTCCTCGCTCCATGGTGGAGGTGGTGACCTCCTGGAATCTCCCCATGTCTCGCTTTCTGCACACCTGTGAGTTGTAACGGTGCTCAGGAGCAGCTCGGATTGGTAAAGCTGATTTCCTCTGAGTCTGATGCAAGCTGATGCTCTCGTCTCTCAGATGTGTTTAGGAGCGCGCTCAGGTTTGGGGTGTTCTCCGCCGTCATGGTGACGTACGCAGCCAGCGCCCTCCTCCATGTGAGCGCTCTTATGTTTATTCTTAAAACTAAATGCTCTCTTATCAGCAAGTGTTTTGTTTTGAATCACGTTTTGGCTGATTTCAGGGTTTGAGTTTTCATCTGGGCGCAGTGCTGATATCTCTGGGTTTCATTACTTACATCGAGCACGGTACGGGTCTTCCTAATGCTCCTTCTGTTATCCCACATTAGAACCTTTCCATCCGGAGAAAGCGCTGATCTCAGCAGTAATGCTTAATTGCACCCCCCTCTGACACGCTGTTTCTGTTCACTGCAGTGATTTTAATTTTCTTGGTTGGAACGAATGCCCTTCATTCCTCTAATTCCAACGCCGTGTCCTTCTTTTGTGTTTCAGTTTTGCGTAAGAGGCTTGCCGTTATTTTTAGTGCCTGCATTCTGTCTAGGAAGTGTCCTCCAGGCTGCAGTCACCAAAACAAAAAGGTAATGAGGGTTATGGGATAAATTCACAGAAAGAAGCAGTTCGGCAAAACTGGTTAACACTTAATATTTCATACATCTTACCCTCATATGAAGGGGAGGTCATCTGTTGTTTTTCATCTGAGTGTGGAGACTCTGTGGAGTTCAGTCTCTAGGTAGGAATGTCCTAAAACCTGCCATCTGTCCCTGCTGGACCCTGTACAGGGTCACAGGGTCGGTTACAGAGACCACACACACACACACACACACACTAGGCCTGTTGACACTGTGTGTTTTTGGACTGATAACTGAAATAAATCTGATTGTTGAATTAATGACCTTCTTGCCATGTAGCCAAAGCTTAATTAGACGTCATTCCTGCTTCTTCCGTTTTGTGTTTTATCCTCTCCTGTTCTTACTTTTGCCTTGGCGTGCTTTTTGGGACAGAACCGGCGGTCCCGCTGTGCAAGAAAGAAATTCCAATTCCAACCACAAGCTGTGATTTTGTTTTTCTTTTCAACTATTTTATTTTACAATTAATTTTAGGCAATTCCTGTCACAGCTGGAAGTTTTTTTCAAACAAGTATTTTTTATTTAGTGAAACCATAATAATACCCGGTTGACTGGGAACGATGAGACCTTTTACGTTTGGTGTCACTAAGGAAACATGGAGCTTATTTTTTAATATCTACACATCTGCTTCAGTTAAACAGCAGCCTTATGTTCAGGTTGTTAAAGGGGCATTATGGAAGTGTGACAGCCAAAACATGTATAGAAATATTAAATGTCTTCTTCATACGTTCTCCTGCAATGCCCTGGTCCTGTAGAATGAGCCCTGGCATTTTTACTGTGATTGCCTGTTTTTCTGTAAAATCACAGAAAAAGAGAGATGCTCGGGTCGAGCAGGCTGCTTCATGCGCGTTCACGCTCAGGCATCGCCCGTAGCATTTGCTATCCGTAGCTTTAGCAGCAGAGAGAGAGGCAGTGCCACTTTGTCGCTGTTCCTAACGCCTAGTGACAAAGCTAGCTACATTTCTGAGGACCCTTAGCTACTTTCTGTAGAACTTTCTTCTAGATATTTCCTGCTAATTAGCAACAAAATAGCCATTTTCACTCCGAACCGTTCTTTGGTTTGACGTTTCAGCTGTCATCAAGGATATAAATGTTACAGATACGAAAGACGTTACCGGCGCTTTAGCTCACTTAGAAGACGGACTCCCGTGTGGAAGACCCGGGTTTGATTCTGGGTGTGAACATAGTTTATTTAGAGTTCATTTTTTACATTAATGGTATATTTTTTTTACAGTAAGATGCCCAAATTTTTATTTGAGATTCGCCGAACGACATTGAATTCACAGATAAAAAAGATGTGGGTTCAACTTTCATTTTGGAACAATTTTTCAAGCAAGGGAAGGGAATGATCTGAGCATGCAGGAGGACTGACCCATCATAAACCTTTGTCGGCTGTGCTGAAGAGAAAGGTACAGAACCACATTATTTCATTAATTAGCTGCGTGTTCTCCTGTCCTCTGTCCTCCGGGCCACACACACACACACACACACACACACACACACACACACACACACACACACACACACACACACACACACAGGACTGTCTCAGCTGTTATTTTCGTTAAGGAGTGTGCACGTACAGCATGCACGCCTCGTGCACGAGCCTACTTTTGAAGCTGCTGTTACGCTTTTGGCCTGAGGGGGCAATGGCGAGCATAAAAATTCAAAACTCTGTAAAGTCCCTTTAAATGATATGTTTGGAAACCAAATCTTGGGCGTTGGTTCCACACATCAGAGCAGCAGGGAGTGAAGATCAGGCTGCATGAAACCGTTTTATTGCAGTTTCATATTTTCTGCGTTTATCTCTCCGAGCTTTGGAGGCTGGGTTAAATGTTTATCAGGAGTCCCATCCTGTTCAGTCTAGATTATGTATTCAACTATTATCCTTTCTTTACCCTCAGAAACGGTGGGTGTATCTGATCAACATAGCATTTAGCGCTTTGGCAGTACTTCACCTGACATACCTGGGCTCGGTGTTCAACTCCAGCGTGGACTACACGGAGGAGGAGGAGGTGAGATGAGACGTCTGTCGGGTCGAAAACATCAGGCATAAGCCGTAACTGCATGTTTTAATCTCTCAGAAAAACTTTCCTTTTGCCTCTTTAATGGGAAATAAAGTTTGAGTCCTTCAGGAATGATAAGCTAAAGGCTAGGCCAAATATCTGCCGCCTTCCAATCTCCACTTTTTATACACTGTTGCCACAAATTTGACTTTTGAGGATTTTTGGGTAGAAAAGCCTGAAAAGCACCAGAAGTTCTACGTGTTGCTGCTGGTGGTGACATTTAGGGAGCTTTCACGGCCTCATGTAGGATGCTGTGAAAGCTCCCTGAACTTTGGTACGGACCAAACGAGTCATCGCTGGTCCTCCTGAAAACACGGAGTGCTTCGCTCACAGTGTGAAAGGAGAACAAGGACAACGCTTGGAGAAGCAGGGATTATTGACCAACAGATTTGGAGGCAGTAGGTGGGTACGTGTGGATAATTAAAACAGAGATCAGGTTTTCTGCCTGCTCTTCCTGGACTGTCTGGTGTGAAAGCATCCCCACACTAAATAACCACAGTAACCTCGTCAGTCATATAGAGACACTATCTATCTAAACAGAGGCCATTCAGATGACTGTGTGTAGGCTATAGAGCTGCTTGATCATAGAAAAAACATTGTGGTTATTTTTTTTTTTACCTTTCAAATAACCGGTTACACTCAGATGGAGCGCTGTCCAGAGTTCACATTTTAACCCTCCCAGTCTTTATGGGTGACCCCGCGAGGAAAGTTGATGGTTTATCCCTTGAGGTCCACGTGGCAGGAGTGAGGTGGTGCTCACTCCTCACCCCTGCCATGTGGACCCAAGGGATAAACCATCAACTTTCCTCGCGGGGTCACACCCATTAGGACAGTGGATTAATGTTAGCTGTCATTTGTCACAGTTACATTTCATAAACCACCATAGATGCCTAAGACCAGACCAGACCTATCTATGATCATGAACAACAATAGTAGGACCGTCCCATGACCCTGTGTTGTGTTTGTACCTGAACTGATCTGCTCTGATCAGTACCTGTCTTGTATATATAGTAGCTGTTTCTCTAAGTATTGCCACTTCATATTATTATTTGATCATGATTATATTCTTATTTTATATATTTGCTTATCTCTTGTTTTTCTGTCTTTTTGCACCAAGTACCGCAGCAACTTCCTAATGTTGTGATTTCTCACACATGTGGCTATAAAACCTTCTGATTCTGATAAAGGTATTTTGTAGCTTTTAAACAGTAGTTTCAAACATATGTTGACACCAATTAGTTAAACCTGATAATTCACTTATTGAAAATTAAAATAAAACAAAGACAAGTGGTGCTGTTATTAAGGCAGGGGAGGGTTGCTATGGAAACCTGCATGTCCAAGCAGGGAGTAATTTGTTGACAACTTTATGGCTGAACCCTGTGTCCAAGAGCATGAGGACTCAAAATAATCAAGTCAAATCTTGATGCATCCCATGGTGTCTGTGTGTTTTGCCCTTGTTCTGCCCTCTTTACTGCCTGTAAAACCCTACCTACCACAAGAAGCATGTGATTTCAGTGGTTTAGTGCTGAAATACTAAAGGGATTAATTGCACAGCCCTGATCACGGAAACACTTTTCAGAATGTACAAAACATTCCTATAGGACAGGGGTGTCAATCTCAAACTCACACGGGGCCGAAATGAAACTCTGGGACGGAGTCGAGGGCCAAACTTAATATTTTTTGAAAAAGTGACGGCAAATTTGCACATTTTCTTTATCAACATATATGCAATTTTGAACCTTTTAATTTGGAAACAAACTTATTTCTGCATTAACACTGAATGTGGAATAACCAAATTACACACGAGCAAGTCAGTTTTAAATAAAACACATCAGTGGTATTCATTACTTGTGGTATAATCAGCATTTTTAAAATCTTTTAAATCTTCTCTCACGGGCCAACAACAAAATAAAAATATCATTTTATCTTAAATGAAAATGCAACATCTCACCTGTTAACTTTCACGTTTTGGAGCAGAAAACGAGCATAAAACCAACATATTTAAAGCTCAGTTTGCTCCACTGGTTTACTGTGATGCTCACCTGTTCCAGCCAGATACCTGCATCATGGGGTTGATCTGAGCTGAGGAGGAGACTCCTGTTGTTTTGTTCATCTTCATCATAATAATGACAACATTAGATGACAACAGGTGCTCACATAGGTTTGTGCTGATGAACATGTCTGAGCAGCTTGACCGCGTTGTTGTGTGTCGGGGAGGAAAAATAACAACTACAGCAGCCACAGAGTCGTGCTGACTTGAGCGTGTCGCTGCTCGCTGGAGTTATATCGGCTCTGTCTGGACGTTAGTTGGAAAACTTTCTCTTTAAGTCGTGAACACATTACTGAGCAGCTAGAATCTCCGTTTCTGGGCTTCAACGTCAGAAAACAGCTGAGTGAACTCGGCGCTGAGTGAGAGGAGTGTAGTTTGTCCGAGACAGCGGAGCTGCAGACACCCGGCAGCAGGCGCTGGAAAAAACACAAAGGAGGGGGCGCGTCGGCTCCGCGCTGACGCCGCAAAGCATCATGGGAGTTGAAGTCTTTGCGGTAAAATCGGCCAGCGGGCCAGTTTTAATATATTTTTGATATTTATCTCGCGGGCCACATAAAAATGCTCCGTGGGCCTTGAGTCTGACATATGTGCTATAGGAGCTCTAGATAATATCTGGTCCTCTAGCTGTTGTGCGTCATGTTGCCAGTGTTATAAGTGACATGGTTTCCTCTGCAGGACGATATCACCCATCACACCATTCAGAAGTGGTCGGAGCTGAGCTGGACGAGCCACTGGGTCACATTTGGATGCTGGGTGTTCTACCGGCTCGTTCTCTAATAACGGAGAGCAGAAGAGGAGGAGGAAGCAATAACAAGGAGCAGGTTTTCCACTTCTGCACTGTGACTTTACCCTGCGTCAGTCTAATGAAGCTACCTGCAGAGCTCAGGCTGCATCAGTTATCGGCATGGTCCTTCTAACCTGCTCTGGGACCTGTTGCGTCTTTCTGATCGTCTTTTCTCCATTTCAAATTCTTTTAATCCGAGCCACACTTGTGGAGCCCTCCTGTTGTCTCGGTGACTCACCATCAATAGCTATCAGTGCAGTGGAGGTGGCCCGCTCCTCTGCAGATGTTCTCCAGATGTGCTGCTCCTCTCATCTCTGTGTGTAGTCACACTTATGTTTGAAGGATGGCACACTGATGGCTGTCTGAAGTCTCACAGGCAGCAAATCCACTTGAACGACCAAAATCAATAATTGCCATTGTTTGTCCCTCAGTACCGTCTGATGGTTTCCGCCCGTCTTGTCTACGTGTTCCATTCTGACATCCAGAGTATTTCACCTCAGCTGCTTGTTTGTCATTCTTTGAGAAAGCCAAATCAAAAGTCGTGATATTGGATTTTGTCAACGCTGCTAGACAGGTGGAGCGTGAGCGAAGGAGGAATAAAGAAACCTTATTGTGAGTCTGGATCGTGTGTGTAGAAGTAGCACCTGAGCTCTGCCGGTACCCGGCGACCTGGTTTGGTGCTTCGTTCCGTTTACAGCTCTTTGTGGCAGATTCTTCTCATCGGGAAGACAAACGTGAAGAAAAGACTGAGAAGGAAGCCGGCTGTGAGGCAGAAATGTTACTGTAATGAATTACATTCTGTGATTTTTAGAAACCTAAACAGACTTTTGTAGTGCGGTATCCTAGTGTTTGGATTTTGTCATGTGCTATATTGATAATTTCTTAAAATATGAACTTATTTCCTTAAAAATATATCCCATTTGTATTTTTACTCTTAAAATCGGGGTATTGAACACGTATTACTGCATAGCAAAGGTACTAAACCTACATTTTGTACAGAATGAATTAGTACAGTATGTGACGTAAAAGACTACGGGTTTTTACTACACAGCTGCTTTTAGGGGATAAAGTGTGATCATTAAGAACATGAGTGTGTTTCCTGGTGGAAGTGAGCTTCTAGAGCTCACCTGTTAGCTCATGTGCTCCGTGTCTGCAGGCGCGCACGGATACCACTCAATACAAAAGCTGTTGTAAATACCCTCCTCAGATTTGTGCTTTTTCGTTGTTTCATCCCTGTAAATGTGAAGCTCTGACGCTCCTGTGAACTTTTTAAAAATAAAATTTTACAGATAACCGTTGTGTCGAAAGCCTAGCGTTCCTCGGAGGGATCAGTGTCACCCACTGCCTTCCATGCAGGGGTTTTAGGGTCAAAAACTGACTCCATAGCCATTCTTCTGTGGTGGCGGTCTTGAATTGGGCCGACTGTAAAAGTTGATGAGATGTAATGTTCACCAGTTTAATTAAAATCCGTTCTTCATGCAGTCTTGATTTGCACGAGTGTGATGAAGTTGGATCAGCTTATCACATCCCTCATTTAGTGGGGGCAGCAGCAGGAGATAGAGCGGGTTGTCCGGTAATCGGAGGGTTGTAGGACTGATCCTGGCAGAGAATGCTGCTGTTGTGTCCTTGAGCAAGACACTTAAACCCTGCCTGCTTGCTGGTGGTGGTCGGAGGGACTGGTGGCGCCGGTGTTTGGCAGCCTCACCTCTGTCAGTGCGCCTCAGGGCAGCTGTGGCTACAATAGCAAAGCGCTTTGGAGACCTCGGCTTGTGTAGCGCCTTTCAGAGAGAGAGATCTCCAAAGCGCTTTGCTCATCCACTCCGATGGTGATGAGCTACGTCGTAGCCACAGCTGTCCTGGCGGTTGTTGTACACAGGCACCACCGGTCGCTCCAACCACCACCAGCGGATGAAGTGACTTGCCCAAGGACACGCCAACTGACATGACGGCTTGAGTCTGGGTATGAAACCTGCAACCCTCAGATTACAGAGCGAACTCCTAACCCCTGAGCCACCATTGCTCAAATCGTCTGACTCATCATTAAATAACACCAAATATAAGTTTGTTGGTGTTTCTCAATGTCAAGGCGCCTGGCCTGGCGAGGCGATGTCTTGCGAGGCCAGGCGCCTTGCTTACGAGGACGCTGTCCTTCCTTGGTCAAAGAAAACGGTCAAATGGAACAGACTTGCATCACGTGACCGCGGCTTCCACAGCGGTCATGTGACACGGGAGATAACGTTATATTTTATGCGTATTAGTTTCAATATAAATATATAACGAGTTTATTTTTTAAATTGTGTACATGTTTATTAAATGAAAAATATAAGCCAGTTACTACCCGCTAGCCACCGACTAACCAACCACAGATAACTTCTTTAGATCTAAAAAAAAATAAACATTTTAAATTAGCTGACTTACTTTTAAAATACCGTGGTGTATTGTGGGTAATTTTTGACCAAGCCTAGGCTACAAGACACCTCCCGTGTGTCCTTGCTCAGCTAGCTAAACGGCTAACCAACAGAGAACAGACGCCTCGGTAGAACATGAACATTGGAACACGTCTTGGCGGCTCCTGATGACGTATCTCCTAGGCAACCGGGGCGGGGCCAAGACATCAAGGCGAGGTTCCTTGGCATTGAGAAACACCCCGAGTCTCAGTTGATGATTATTGGTGGCTGGCGGCCATCTTGACATGTGTGGTCTCCAGAAGCAAACTAATTATGAAAGGAAGGGTTTCATGAAGATCCATAACGGACACAGCCAGACACACGTGAACAAGAGGAACTAGGTTGTAAAGGTCCGGACACAGACTGCTGTAGTAAATAGTTGTTTATTTGAGTTATTATTTACAAAACAAGTTTTTCCACAGTAGGATGAGGAAGGGTTGAAGCAGGGCTAGACAGAAGATGGGGAGGAACAAGAGATGGTGATGGATGGAGATCAGTTTCTGAGGGGTGAGCAGATGTGCTGCACAGCAGCACGGCCGGCTGGTTCTGGGGGAAAGTGCATAGGGTGGGGGGGGGGGGGGACGCTCATCCCTTTCTCCCTCCGGGACCCCCATGTCTACGACGACAGGACCCTAGCAGCGTCTCCAAAGCCATCTTCACAAAGGCCTGGAAGTTACTGCTTCTCTCCCTTCGGCTGTCCTGCTTAGGGAGAAAACACACAGATACCTTCACTGGGACCACGGCCGTCGCACTTCACATCAACAGCAGCTCTTTTAACGTTATTCGGTCCTAGGTCCCACAGGCGGTGTTCACAGGGTCCGATTAAAGGCTTACCTCCTTGCTTCTTGTTATCATCTCCTTTCTGATCACCTTTCTTTGGCTGTTCTTTAGGACTCTGAGGTTGCTGCGAAGTAAAAGCAAAATGAATGAGGTAACAAACAAGGATAAAGTTTCTTACTGGTGCAGCAGAGATTCTTTTCCTACCTTGGTAGCTGACTTCTTGTCCGATTTATTACCTGAAAATAGTCAAATATGTTTGTCAAACAGCTACGACTTCTTTTGCTGTTTATTTGGTCATCTTCAGCTTCATTTAGATGCTCGTGATGTCACAAGACATCTGGACAAATCAACAATCTATTTTCTTACCTTTCGTTCCTGGCATTTTGACTGTTATCCAAAGTTGATGCTCTTTTGGGAAAATGCAGTGCGTAACGTGCTGCTTGCCTGTGGCATTTATGGCCAGAGCTTCTGAATGGTTCAGCCACGGGGGCCCCTTCGAGCAAGAGCACCCTGAACAAGCAAAGAGCCCCGTCAGCTCAGCGGGTCTTTGCTGAGCCAGGCGAAACCTCAGAGCTGACCTTGTAACACTGCCATTGTGAACTTACTGGAACTGCGTGTTCACCTTTTGTTCATGACAAGAAAGCATTTATGGTTTGGGAAAGGAGGATATCAGTTTTATTTTTGTTCAATTTTAATTTGTTCTTGTAACATTAGTTCTAATCAAATAACATGAGATAAAATTGGTTTGTTGCCCAAAACCTAAAAAAAGTAATTTCATTTTGGACATTTTTTTTGTTTTCTAGTGTTTGAGCAAAAAAACACATGGTGGCCAACCAGTTATTATTCTGGAGATGACTTGTTATAGATTTATAAGGCTGGAAGTGGATCACTAGTAATGGGATTTTATAACCAAATTACCACAAGTAAATATCTTAAATAAGATCTAACTCAATTCATAGAAAGTTATTAACTCCTCGTCCTCATTTTACTATAAAATCTAACAATCAAAGGTAGACCACAGCAACGTCTTCCATGTGATGCTTGACTTAAAAGTAAAGTTTGGACACACAACAGGATCACTGGTCATATAAAGCATACACCTTTTTATTTTTGTTCTGACTGTCTTAAAATGAAGATCAAAAACATCACAACTGTTTTACAACGATTACAAGATGGGTTTCTCGTGCGTGTTGCATTTTGTTCATGTTTCAATAGTAGTTTATACTTTTTGACGAAAACGTAGTCTTAAGTCCATGTCTGATCATTTCCATCAATGGGAAATAAAAATAGAATATTACGGTAAGATTGTTTAACATTTTATTTCTTCTTTCATCACTTCAATTAATTTTCCCCAATAATGTGAGCTCCAGGGAGGTTAGCGTTAGCCTGACGCATTAATACTGTAAAACTAATATGTATAAACATATATATATATATATATATGTATATGTTTATATATAAACATATATATATGTGTGTATATATATGTATTAATATATATATGTATGTATATATATTTGTATATATATATACACACATATATATATGTTTATATATATATATATATATATATATATATATATATAAACATATATATATATATATAAACATATATATATATATATAAACATATATATATATATATATATATGTATATATATGTATATATATATATATATATATATATATATGTATATATATATATATATATATATATACATATATATATATATATATATATATATATATATATGTGTGTGTATATATATGTATTAATATATATATGTATGTATATATATTTGTATATATATATATACATACATGTATATGTATTAATATACACATATATATTAATACATATATAAAATGTATGTATTGATGTCCCTGGAGCAGTGAAGAATAAACTGTGCTGTCGTCACGAGAAGTCATTTGCATCATTGAGCTGATTGGTCACCGTGGTCACGTGACTGGCCAGGAAACGCAGCGATGGAGGAAAGCTAAGGAAGGTGAGCCTCTTTCAAATGAATATTAGCATATCTAATCGATATAATACAGCAATGTGAACTTGATATGTCATATAAAGTTACTTCATATCTAGCTGGGGCCTTAAAGGCAAACATGTTTATACCGAAAGGCTTCACTTATATGAAACGCAAAATTTCTCTTGCTTATTGCTAGCTGACGCTAGTTAGCTTTCCGACTGTTTTATTAAGGTAGGTGGCGTCTATTCTGGGATTTAATGGAAAATTAATACACGCCGACACATTTATTGTGCGTCATTTGACAATTTCAGTAAACATTTTAGTAATATTCTATCCCTTTTAAACGCGCAGCGTAGGACTAAACCGATCAACTTCACATCTTTCCAGTGGTGCAGGGTGCTGCTTCGTTACTTCTGTAGTGCTACGTAAGAACAGGAGGTTTGGGGTGAAGATGCATCCGTTTGTTGAAAGATGAATTTGTGTGCGTTTGGCCAGGACTCTGGCGTGGCTCTCTCTTCCCAGCGTGATTGTGGAATGGCAGCAGTCTGGCAGCAGGTGTTGGCAGTGGACGCAAGGTGGGTGAGACTCTGTGAGACGGACACCTCCTGTTGTCAGAATGATAAAGAACTTATTTATGTGTGTCATTTTTATTCCTCTCCAGGTACAATGCTTACCGCACGCCTACGTTCCCACAGTTTCGAACTCAGTACATCCGCAGACGCAGCCAGCTGCTCAGAGAGAACGCCAAGGGTGGCTTTGAGCCAGGTCTGCGCAGGCAGTACCTGAGGCTGCGCAGCCAGCTGTTGGCCCTGCGCTACGGGCCCCTGTCCGAGCAGAGCAGCTTCAGGGCCAGCAGTGTGCGCAGCTCCAGAACCACACTGGACCGCATGGAGGTCAGACTCAGAGAAACAGAAAGGACAGGGAGAAACTGGTGGAGGTGTTTGAAGAGATTTGGAACTTGAAACACAAAAGCAAGGCGAACATCTCTTTAGTTGCTAGACATACAATGCTGGGCAGCTTGGTTGAAATGGCCGGTGCTGCATCCACAATGCATGCTAGTGCCAGTTAGCTGTAAATGTGAAGAAATGCTTGTTTCAGTTATTTGTTGGCTGGTTTCCACCTTCACCTCCTCTTCCTCTGTGCATCCCCTCCCCCAGGACTTTGAGGAGGATCCTCGCGCCCAGGGGGCTCGTGGCCACCGCCGCTCTGTCAGCAGGGGCTCCTATCAGCTACAGGCCCAGATGAACAGAGCAGTTTATGATGAGAGGTTTGCAAAAAACTGTTGTTGTCTTGTTTCAAAGCTCCTTGAGTCGTTTACCCCATAAGCTGTCATGTTTTGTCACCGCCTCTCTTAAACCCTGTCATTAATGATCCCTGAGATAAAGTGTCCAGCGTAAAAAGAGGTCTGAAGTCTTTCTTGGGTGTTTTCGCTCTGTCTGCAGGCCTCCGGGCAGTCTGGTGCCCACCTCGGTTGCAGAGGCCAGTCGTGCCATGGCAGGGGACACAACGCTCAGTGAAAATTATGCTTTTGCTGGCATGCACCACATATTTGATCAACATGTTGACTCTGCTGGTATATAAATATTTACTTTTAGTTTTAATTTGTGCCTTTTGAAGTGAACTCATCTCCCACTTTGTCTTCCTCTCGTTTTTAAGTTCCACGGTTACAGTTTGCTAATGATGATAAGCACCTCCTTGCCTGCTGCTCATTGGATGGCACCCTGTCCATCATGACACTGTCCCCACCTCCTCCCAGTGTGAAGGTGATCCTGAAAGGACACGGGGGTCCCGTCACAGACTTCGCCTGGTCGCTGAGCAACGACATCATTGTGTCTACATCATTAGATGGGACTCTTCGCATCTGGAACACGGAAGACGGTCGGTGTATTCGGGAAGTCCGAGACCCAGAATCCAGCGAGCTGCTCTGCTGCACCTTCCAGCCAATGAACAACAACCTTACGGTGGTGAGTCCCTTTCAGTCACACACTAATATTTGTTGTGCTTGTGGCCAAAACTCAACTATACTGTTGGCCTGACCCATTACATTTTTGAAATAATTATTATTTTAGGTATATTTTGCTTCCTGGACAGTTTCCATTCAGAAAACTGAAGTTTTTGTTCTTCAGGACTGTTGTGCTGGCAGCTAGTTTGACTGTAGATCAAAGGTCATTTCTACCTCCCAGGGTCCGAAATTAAATTTTTTACTCACCGGCCAAGTTGGCCGGTAGATGATGAAAATCTACCGGCCAAGCATATTTTTTACCGGCCAAAATCCTAAATGATTTAGATCCACCTAAAGCATGTAATTCTATATTATGTTGATTCCAAACAGAGTGACAAAATAATTAAAACATCAATTAATAAGAAAAACAACTCTTTTGTCATTTTTACAATTTATTTATTTTTAGAGATGTTTTTATGAACTCTTTCATTGAAATCTAGTCAGACTCCTTGTTTTCTCTGTCCATGAAGTCTGGCCTCCTGCTTCTGACACCGTCTTTGTGCCAAAGCATTACAGCCTCATTTGGGTCCTAGTCCTTGATCTCTGGAGAACACAGCTGCAGCATGAGAATATCTGAAAGTGTGTCAGGGCTAGGGTTGTCACGGTAACCGGTGTAGCGGTAAACCCCGGTAAAAAAGTTGACAATAATAATAATAACCGTCTTCATCTGCTGAAGTTGCCGGCGGCACATGCGCACTTTGTTGTTTACGACCAAAACTTTCTTGAAGCTAAAGCTGAAATAATGGCCAGAGGAGACGGCAGCACTCGGGACATTTTTTATTCCTCAACGAAGACAAAGTGGGAAGTACGGGCATTTTGTGGATATTTGAAGAATGCCGAGGGACAGTTGTCTGTGAAAGGCAGCAACGCTACGTGGCCATTATAACGTAGCCTGTCTCACGACACCGCCGTCTCCAGTTCGCCACTTTTCACAAAATCTTCTGGTTGCCACTGGTCCTGGTGGTTTTTCTTCCAGTTTGACGAGTTTTCTTTTGGAAGGCTGGCTGACTCCAGTTAAAAACCGCCACATTTCACCGCTAGTTTTAACACGAAGCTAACGGCTAACTTGATAAACTGATTGAATGGGATAGGTGGAAATGACGTTGGATGCGGCGCTCACGTTTCGCGTACGTTTGTGTACGTTGCATGCAGGCGGGAGGAGTATCAGAAATCCGTGGAAGATGACTGATAAACATAACTAATTTGGTGCAAACATTTACTCGCCAGGTGGCAGGTAGAGCTCAAAAATTTACTCGCCAAATGGAGCAATTTGGCGAGTGGCGAGTGTTAATTTCGGACCCTGCTACCTCCTAAGAAGCCTCTAATCTCCGACGTGTCCTAGCGACCCGTGCCATTGGTTCATTCATATTTAAACTGCCATCACTTTTTGCTGTACGTTGTATTCTCTGGTTATCCGTAAGTGTAAATATGACCTGCTGGAACAAAACTGAGCCAAATGTAGCATTTTCAGTAAGTTCAGTGGTTAATTGTGGCAGGAAACTCTTCCTGATTCTGCTGATATAACAACACAGTCCTGGTCTGAGAGAGGACAGTGGCCCAAAATGTCACACCGGACTAATTTGTGCAGTGATGTTGCGATCTATTCACCTTAAAGGGAAATTACACCCCTAAGTGAAAGCTTGTCTTGCCGTATTCCCCAGAGTTAGGTAAGTGAGAAAAAACAATTCTCCGGGTCTGGCGGCCGTCCGTCTGCTTTAGCTTAGCATAAACAATGGAAGTGAATAGCAGAAACTAGCAATTTGTGTGCAAAAGTGATTAAAATTACTCAGTAATAGGGATGTGTATTGGTGAAATCCTGGCAATACAATATGCATCACGATACGGGGGAGACAATACAATATATCACAATATATTGCGATACATTCAGCCAGACAATAGTAGCGATTTTTTTTTTTTGACTGAATCTATTGTAGGAAATTTCAATAAACTGTCCAAACTGATACTTAACATGTTTATCGTGATGTATCTGAACCATAATAAAGAGATTTACATTTCAATAGTGGAAGCAAAACCCACTGCAGTCGGCGTTTGAATTGCACCAAAGGAAATGAAAATACACAAATGCTTGCATGCGAATTCTTCCCAAAAGTCGATACACGGCTTTTGAATATCGATATAATATTGCAGGACACAATATCACGATATATTGCCATATCGATATTTTCTTACATCCCTACTCAGTAACAATACCAATTATTCCTGGTGAGCTCAGTAATCATGTCGACTGCAAAGGCGGTCAAATTAATAACATACGCAGGATATATGGACCACACAAATGAGCTCTTTTCTTTAAAACAAGGGCTATAAAATTTCAAAACTTAGATATAAAACAGCAAAAATTATAGATGAAGCTAGGAATAAATACATACTACCAACAATATACAGAGATTCTCTGCATGGATGTAACCCAGTCTAAAGATACATAGGGTTAGAACAACACTAAAGAGTATGGGTACAGCAGTATTAGGAGTTAAATTAGGGAATAGCTTAGAAGAGGAAACAAAAGTACAAACATAAAGCAGTTTTAAAAAATGATCAAACGCATATTTTAAATTATTAGAATGAAGACAACAGATGTGTGTTTGCTCCTATTCTGAGGAAGCTGTGTTCTGATTATCGTTTGTCGGTAGATGATTGAGAAGTGAGTTTGTTTTTTTGGATGGGGTGAGTTTTAGATTTTTATTTATTTAGTGTGATATTACGACATAAGGCACAAGAAACGGATATTACATAAGAATGTGTGGGGATATATAAGTTTATACTTCAGCCGACCCCCTTTCTAACAAAGGAATGTTGCTGAATTAATAATAACAATAAATTCTGACGGATGTTTCTGATTCAAATACAAAATAAATGAAAGGTAAGAAGTATTATTCCAGGGGCCGATTTAGGCTTGGGACTACGTTACGACAAAGCACCGCTGTAAGCCGCCGCTGCATGGCCCATGGATATAACACGGGTCGAAAAAGGCTCCCTTAAGCAAACACTTCACTTATTATAACCGCCCAGCAACACTCAAGAACTTCGATCACATAAAAGACCACTTACAGGTAGCTCTGATGCGCTTCTTTACAAAGTATGGATGCGACTGCCATCTTTGTCAGCCACCGGTGGCTTCTTCGACCGCTGCGTTAAAGCGCCGCGTGCTTTTTATGTTGAGAGGCGCTTTATAAAAATCGTTTTCTTTCTTTCTTTCCATGCGCCATGCAGCGGCGGTGCTTTGTCGTAACGTAGGCTTTCAAGATGATAAAGAATCAGACTCTGTTTCCTCCCGCTGCAGTTCAAAAGCTTGACACGCTCATCAACAAGCTCCAGAGTAAGCTATGATGCCGCCAGAGCTCGAGCCAAACCAGACTGGCCTTCACTGAAAAAGAAGATCAGCTGAAAGTTGAGAAAGCCAAATTAGAAGCCAAAGTTGATTATATTAAACAGCAAAGAGAAGCTGAAGCTGCCCTAGTTGAAGCTGAGGTGTTGGAAGCAGCTGCTGGAGACATCCGTGAACTCAACAACAAAGAATTTGACTTCTTACCGTTTCCAGAAAACTCCTCAAAAAGAACCGATCCCTACGTCACACAGCAGTCACTGCAACCTTAAAGGAGAGAATGATTCAACTTTACCTCCAACATTCACTCTTCTTCCAGATTAAAATCCGAATGAACAGCCTCGGCTAATAAACAACAAGACCAATTTACCTCATAATGACGCTCAGCCACTTCGTGCAAACTTTCAACAGCAAGAAGATGATTGCCGCCAGCAAGTGAGCTCACCTGACAAGCAGTTACGTCCAAGCTGTTGTAATAATATTGATTTGTCAACAGATCTTCAAAGTTTCTCGCCAAATCCCAGCTGGTTTCTTCAGGTCTGACAGTTTGACGATTTACCTGAACATTATGAGTGTAAGGGTTTGGTGGAGAGAAACCTTCATCAGCGCAATCGAAGCCCTAGGTCTAACGGCGAGTGAAGAAATGGACCTGCTGATCAAAAATCTGGTGAACATGCCATCAGAATACGATCTGTAAATATCAGACCTCCGGCTGTTGGACTTAGAATGATTTGGGCAAGACTAAATAAAAAATATGGTGCCTCAGAAGTAATAGAAAGAGCTCTATTTGGTAAACTTGAGAGTTTTCCAAAATTCCATAACAGAGATGGTCAAAAACTGCAGGAGCTGGCAGACCTGCTTACTGATCTTGATGTTGCTAAACAAGAAGGACACCTGCTGGGACTGGGCTACCTTGATACGGCAAGAGGTGTGCAGCCAATCGTGGAAAAGCTCCGCTTATATCTCCAAGACAAGTGGCTGTCCCATGGGTGCAAACACGAGAGAGATTATTGTGTTGCGTTTCTTCTTTTCTCATATTTTAGGGAGTTCATCTGCAGAGAGGCTGATGAGAGAAGCGACCCTAGTTTTAACTTTCCAAATCTCCACAAATTCTTACAGAAAAGAAAAGTCAAGTCACATCCAGGTGACCTGTTTCTGTTCACAAGACAAACATCTCAGTAGCTTCAGAGGCAAAAACAGGAAATCCAGAGAACTTGTGCCCCACGCACATCAAACCTCATTCTCTTCAAAAATGCAGAGGTTTTCGAAGAACGCCTTTGGAAGAGAGGAAACGGTTCCTAAAGGAACACAACATATGTTTTCGCTGTTGCTCCTCCACTGCTCACCAAGCCAAATCTTGTGAAGCCACCATTAAATGTGCAGAATGTGCTCTGCACCCTGGACCAGCAGCACATACAGAGACCGTTCCCGATGCCTCGACAGAGAACAGCAGGGAGAGGTCTGACGCAGAGCTGCCAAGTGTCACATCCGGTATGCACAGGTATGCAGGGAGGGGTTTAGAGTTTGTCTTGTTAGTGTGTATCCACATGGTCATAGTGAGATAAGCAGAAAAAGGTGATTTTATATGACCAAAGTAATGTCTCGCTTGCCAGATCTGA